TTTTTATATCATAAACAATTTTTCATTCAATTTTATTCACAACAATAAAATAATTTTTTAGCTAATAATCGAACAAATAGACTCCTTTAATATTCTCAGCCAAAACAATTTAATGAATGTATAAAATTATAAATTATATATTTATGATATGACTCTACTACAATTCAAGTCAACATTTATTTTAACTCTAAAAAACAAAATATTCGTAATAAATTGACTTACAAATGCAATTCAAATTTTTCATCGCATTGTATTTTAAACACTCCGTCGTAATTTTCCAGTGTAGCAAACACGTCCTTTCCAACCTTAATCATCGTATGAATAGTCGAGTTAAACAGCCCTCCCTTTTCTTTGTCCGATTGTATGAAGTAATAAGTTTTTGCCTCGCATCCCACATCGTCTTCAATATGGAAATGATATATAATTCCAATATACTCTGTCGTCCCTCTTCCCTCGTTTGTTGCCTTTCTGATATTATCATGTATCCAAGCAGTTGGTGCTGCAATGAATGCGTCAGTTGTTGTTTCACTTAACTTTACAGTAGCCATCATCTGTCCAAAATTTTGGTAGTTTCCCCATCTATTTTTCATTCAATGTACTCACCAAATATTCCACTTCAATTTTTCGTTCAAAAACACTAACAAACAAACCTTGGAAATGGGTTTAAAGTCGCTCTGAAATCGACTTTATTCTCCCCAAGCCATCGAGTTACAAAGACGACTCCTCTATCCGACTTCGGGTCTGAGAACAACAAATACTTTTCAGTCAATTCCACGGCTTCTCCGTTATGGAACAAATTGTGTTTTTGTGGTGGGATAAAATGTGGTGCAGAGACGGTGACTGGAAATATAGTCACTTCAGGTTTGTCTACTAAGTGCATTAGATAGACATTTTGGTTAATGTTTTTACTCAAATCATCGCGATTTTGTGGGTTCCCAACAACCATCGTGTAGTTATACGTCGATATCCTTAACATATTAGTCTCTGAAATTAATGAGAGAAATGACGTGTCTTTCACACCATATTTAATATAAACTATCCCAAGTTTCTCATTCACATAACAAAACAAGGCACTCCCAGTCTTCCCTTTGCCATAGTCAGCAACCATTCCTATTAATAATACGTACACGTGTAACTCTGAAGATATCAATTTAAACTCGCGACCAATGTCTTTAAATGTAATTTGGATGTTATCTTCAGTAAACTCGTTGAACAAAGTCCAGTCCGTTCTTAGCTCAATTAACTCGTCAAAGGTCTTGTCGGGATTTAATATCACCAATTTCTCATTGTTTTTGATCTCTTCAAATGTGTGCTCACCTGAAAGAAGTTTAACCCCGGCAGTTATAAAATGGTCCATCCCAGTCCATATGTATTTGTCAGTAAAACAACGGGATGATTGTTTGTATACAGAAGATACAAAATAGTAACAGTACATCCCATTTTTCTCTATGTTGTAAATGTCTGAATTAAAAAAACTTAATATAAGTTAGAAAAACAAATAAAATACTCAAATGATGTTTTTAAATGTCTTTTATATAAAAAATTGTTATGAAATTTAAAAAATTGTTTATAATTATTATTGTATATAAAACATCAACGTTATTTATTACATCTTTATGATTATATTTACTTTATATATTAAAAAAATAAATAATGTGGAGATGTTCATTTTATCGTTTGAAACTTCAAATCATAATAAATATTAAAAGCACATCATTTTTTGAAATAATGTCATAAACATACAAAAACAATTATTAATATTATTGATTAAAATGTAAATAAAGTTGTACAAATTTATTAAAAACAACAAATAATATTTAAAACTGTTTAATGTATTTTTTCTTTTCAATTGAAATTTGATTGATTTATAACAATAGAATTGGAAAATATGATTTAAAAATTAAATTTTAATTTTATTGTTAATAATTATATTATTATATACCAAAACAATAAACACCTTTATAAATAAATAACAAACTAAGTTCATAAATCAATCCTTGATTAACTGAATATAAAGCGCTTGGAATAATGTTCTCAGTATCTACAGCTTTTTTATTGACAATACAAATATCCATCGTTTGATGGTCATGATTTTCTTCAGAATACACAACTGTCAATACCAATATAATACATAAAAGAATAGTATTTTGTCTCATTTCGTTTGATTTCTGTTATTTGAGATCATTATTTCCTTATAAATCAAAAGGAACCAAAAGTTTGTTGTGTTTTTTAAATGTCGATTTTATGTATTATAATGATAGTAATAAAAATAATACAATAATTGTAAAGGAAATAACACAAATGAAAACTTAACAATTTTTAAACATAGTTAAAACAAAATCATTCAATTTATAAATAGTATTTTAATTAAATTATTTATTTTTTGTTGTATTTTTTAAAATTAAAATTTCTTAATTTTATTGTTGAAATTGTTATATTTGAGTTTTACATAACGAAAATGTATAATTTATGTATTTTTAATTAATATCTTCATTTTTATTAAAGTTCTATTAATAGACATTTGTTGAAAAAAATTCACAAAAATCAATATTGTTGATCTTTAACCATAAAATTTGTTTTGAAAAGGTTTAAATTATTTTCATAAAAAATAGTTTAATTTTTTTCATTTTATTTAGTGCTTCGCTGTTTGTGGACTGAAGTTTTTTCTATTTTTTTTTCAAACTGAAAAAAAAACACATTCAAGAATTATAATTTCTAATAGCTTTATTTCCACTTTTGGGATTAATTTATTCAAACACAATTATTAAGAAACATAATCATAAACTGTAAAACTGAATCAAATTTAAAAAAATAAATAAAAAAACCAAAACTTTGAATTTTTTTGTTTTGTCAAAAATCAAAAATGCATTTTTTGAGTTTTTTTTTGTAAAAATAGTTATTAAAATACATTGTGAAAAAAACAATTATTATTAATCCTAAATAAATGGTATTTTTAATTATTTACACAACAAAGTTATAAACACATTTAAACTTTTAAATAAATTAATAACGAACATACATAATTGTTAATATAAACGAATAGTTAAATATAGTTTTAAGTTGAATGATGACTGTTAATGACATTGTTATTCTCAAATTTTAATTGTAACGTATGTGTTATTGATGTGACATTTTGTTAAAACGAAAAAAAGTCAAATATTATCAATTGTTACTTATTTCATTGTCTAACTACGTCAATGTTCATAATGATTAATTAATCGCTTATTGTTGATAATTGCATGTTAATGAGATATTATATACAATTAAAAATGTTTTTTATTAATATTGCAACATATAATAGTAAATACATGTATTTTGACAACATCACAACATTTATGATTGATTGAAATATAAGGGTGTATTTAATATTATTTTAAAATAATTTATAAACAATAATTTATAAATAATTTTTTTTGCTAATCTTTTGATTTAAAAACAGCCCAAAAACGTAATAACTATCTACTGTGTAAACATGTAATATCAAATTAAATTTTTAAATGATAACACTAAAATAAAATATATCACATCTACAGCATTTTTATCTTTTGATTTAGAGCTCACAAATACATGCACATGAAATATTAAGATCTTTTGTTCTGTAGTCTAAGTTTTAATAGTTATAAATTTTTAATTGAATCAAAAATTGTAAATAATTTTACTGAGTTATGAAACCTGAGTATGTAAATACATATGATATAACTTGTTAATTCAACTTTTTATGTTTAAATAATTGTATTTTGTGGAAACATTATAAATTTGAATGATCATAAAAATAACGAGAATCATATAATTTTAAACAAATTTTTATATAATTTAATGTTGATATTATATATTCAAATTGAAAACAACAACTCAAATATAATAAATAATTTCAATTAATGAATTATTGGTCTTTACTTCTTAAGTTCAGATCATAATAATTAGATATTTTTGCCAAATTCATAAAAAGGTTATTTCAAATGTATTGAAGTTAATGAACATCTTTGTTCTGTTATAAACAAAGAGCATTAAAAATAATAATCAAAAATTAATGTTAAATAAATTTCGACATATATAAAAAGTTATATTGAATAAAGAATCATATGTTTTCAATTTATTTGTTTTTGTATCATGTGATGTTTAAATTGAGTTTTAAAGTTTTAAATGTAATATGGTATAAATTGTATAAATTATGATGAGATGGTGATTTTATATATTGATTGTAAATTGTTTGCCTGAACAACCTTTTTATGTTTTATTATAAATTAATAAAACTTGAGGTTATGATGTAAAAAATACAAGTAGTGAATAAATCTACAGTCTATATTAAAAGTTTATCTAATACCTTTTAGATTATTACAATAATTCGAGAAGTTGTACAAAAGATATATCCCAAATGTTTTTTTCTGCGTTTTACTAAGTGTGGTGTTTATATAAAATTATTGCTATTTATTTGTCCACCAGATAACATTAATAAACTGCCTTTATATTCAAACTTTAGATGATTTGTTTAATCATTTAAAAATTACCAATTATTTGTTTTGAATATTACAAACATTTTTGTTTATTAATTTAATATTTTTTGTTAAACGACTTTTTGGTTCAAAATTATTAATTCTTTCATTTTTTATATTGTTGTATACACGTTTTCAGTTAATCATATTATAGACAATGTTAATGTGATTAGTTTCAAAAATGAGATTTCGGTAAATCAATCTTATACGGCTCCCATTTGTTTTTTCTTAATTTTTGTCTTATATAAAAAGAAAAAAAAGCAATTTGATAAAACCCTTTTCAAGTTATTTTCAATAATAATTACGTCTTTTTTCAGGAAAAAAAAATCAGTTAAAAACCAGTTAAATAACTGCGAAGCACTATACACCAACATATTTTATCAGATTTAAAAAAAACTCAAATACATTTTACTGCAAGTTTTATTCATTTTTAATTTTATTTGTTTTTGTTATATTTTTTCATAAAAAAATAAAGGCTTAAAAATCTATTAAAAACTATATTCTAACAATGAAAATACTTATAAATAACAACTATCAGTTGTTTAATTAAAAAGTT